CTGCTTCACTGAAAATATTTTCATTCTGTCTGACAAAAAGTTAAAAAAGTACATGAACTGTAACTAAAAACGTATCGCAAGTGACACATTATCTGTGATTAATGGTGTGCGCCTTGTTCTCCTTCGTTGTCATCGTCTTTACTTTGATGAGCCTAGACTGATTGCTTAATTACACAAAGGTAATGCTTTCTTGTGGAACTCTCTGGAGCTAGATCACAGCAAAGTTCTCACATCATTTTTTAAATGCAGCTTTAGAAACAAAAGAACTGATTAGGTCAGAGTCACGCATACAAGATGTGAGGACAACCCATGTGGGGACTGGAGCCATTGACTCCCAAGACAAGGTCAGTAATCTGGACAGCAATGGAAGAGATGAGGTGATACCACTCACACAGCATTGGACCTTCATTTCACTGCTGTTAAGGAGCAGTAGACATGAGAAGTGACCCTCCAGCACACCACACCTGGAATACTACTTAGCTCAACTGTGATGCTCGCCTACCATGGAGTGGGGCAGGGCAGGGCAGGGCAGGAGGAAGCCAGTTACAACAGGTGTGGTTGTGCAGACCTGAAACCCCAGCTGCTCAGGAAGCTCTCGAGTTCAGGGCCTGTTTGGGCAGTGTAGTGAGACCTCGTGCCAAAATAAAAGTTAAGACCAGCAAGACCAGTGAGTCTCGACCCTCCTAATGCTGCAACCCTTGAATACAGTTCCTCATGTTGTAGTGACCCCAACCATAAAATTCTTTTTATTGCTTTTTCATAGCTGTAATGTTGCTAATGTTATGAATTATGACACAAGGGGCCATAATCCACAGGTTGAGAACCACTGGCCTAGGGCTTAAAGGTACTTACAACCAAACTTGACTACCTGGGTTCCATCCCCAGAACCCACATGGTGGAAGAAGAATCAACTCCTGCAGGTTGTCCTCTGACCTCCACGAGTGCTCCGTGGCACTCGCATCCCGCCCCCCACCAAACAGATGAATGAATGGTTTTATGTTTTTTAGTTTTTGTTTTTTATGAAAAAGGGCTAAAGGGTAATAAGAGCACTTGCTTAACATACAAGAGGCCCTAGGTCAATGCCGAATGCTGTTAAAACAGACAAACAGGTCACAACTCCAATGATTTCATTATTCATTAAGGATCATAACCTGCAATTTAAAAAAAGTACTAGCCGGGTGTTGGTGGCACACGCCTTTAATCCTAGCACTCAGGAGGCAGAGGCAGGTGGATCTCTGTGAGTTCGAGGCCAGCCTGGTCTACAGAGCAAGTTCCAGGACAGGCTCCAATACAATAGAGATACCCTGTCACAAAAACAAACAAACAAAATAAATAAAGTACTGATGAGAGCTCAGAGAGTATTACAAACAAACAAAATAAATAAAGTACTGATGAGAGCTCAGAGAGTATCTGTAAGTATGAGGACTTGAGGTCAATTCCCAGAATCCATGATGAAAACTAGGTGTGTTGGCAGTTCCTGAAATCTCAGTGTTGGGGCCACATAGGCAGGCCCCTGCCTGTCACTAGCCAATCAGACTTGCCAAAACATCGACCCCCAACTCCAAGAGGAGAAGGAAGAGGAGGAGGGGGAGGGGGAGGAGAAGGAGGAGGAGAACAAGCAGGAGAGGGAGGGATGGAGGGAGAGAGAGAGGGAGGACAGTGCCTCTCAGAGAGAGGGTGAGGGAGGAGAGAGAGGAGAGAGAGGGAAGAAGGGAGAGAGAGGGGGAGGGAGAACACACACTCTCTCTTTGACAGAGAGGCACTAAGGAATGAGAAAGGAAATTTGAAAACCTATCTTCCCTCAGAGGTCTGGAGTGTAAGCACTGCAATTCCATGTTTCAGAACCAGGTCTCTGGCCTCACCTGACCTTTTAATAAGAACTGCACCAGCTTCAAGTGTCCTAGACCTTGAACCCAAGTACTCTCACCCACAACTGTTCATTTCCATTTAGACCACACTGGTTTGCAACATCTATTGTTTCTTGGACAACTTAAGAGTCAAAGGTTGTCCATCATTTCATCATTCCATAATTACAGCCTTAAAAAAATATTCTCCACCTTACTGTGCCTACAAACCCCAAATCTTGGCAAACAAGACGACTCTTTATCTGCACACATGCTAGTGCAGGAACACAGATGGGAGGAACTGTGCACTTACAAGGTCTCAAACGTCACCAGTCACTCAGCAGGGTCTAGCTCCTCCAGGGATTTGTTAGAAATGAAGATTAAGGGCCTTGGAGTAGAACCTTAGTGGGAGGGCCCCACAATTCTTTAATATGTTAACAAGATCTGTATCTGCTGTATTTTATTTTGCTGTGATGCACATCCATATGCAAGCCTTTGTGTAAACATGTGCTTCCATCTCTAATGCATATATCTAGGATAAGAATTGCTGAGCCACAAAGAAACTTTATATCTGAATTTTGGGGTGCTGGCAAAGCAGCTGCATCATTCTGTACTCATTCAGCAATATACAGAGTCCCAGTGTCCGATGTCATACTAATGCTTGCTGCCACTTGTCTCTTCTTTTCTAGGGGAGAAGGGAAGCAGCCAGGGACTGAACTCTGGGTCTGTGCATTCTGCCACTGAGCAGCCCCCATGCAATTCTGAATTGGCAATTTCATATACGGGGATCAAACTTAATTTTTTCCCCTGGTATTTTTTTTTTGAGATGTTTTTCCCTCCCATTAAATTGCCTTGGTACCCAATTAGATTAAATATTCCTTTTTCTTCCACATTTGACCCCCTTAGCAGCCATTCCCTCTTTCAAACTCTCAACTCCCTTGACTCTCCTCTTAAGAGTTCCTCTTTCTTTTCAGTCTTTTCTTTTTGGTGGGGAGAGGGTGTTATTTGTTTTGAGACAGGGTCTCACTGTGTAGCTCTGGCTAGCCTAGAACTCACTCTGTAGGTCAGGCTGGACCGACTCATAGACAGCCTGTCTCTTCCTCTTCCTTTGGAGTTCTGGGATTATGCGCTGCCATGCCTAGTTCTTTTTAGTCTCTATGTTCCTGTCTTCTTGCAAGCTTTAAAATACTGGGTTTTCAGTTACAGTGGCTACCTAGCAAATTATGACAAAACTTAGTGGCATAATAAAGTCATTTATTATACTATAGTTTCTTTTGCTCAGGAGTTCAGACTGGCACAGTGGCGTTCCCATTTCTGTTCCATGACATCTGAAGCCTCAGGCTGGAGAATGGTGCTATCTGAAGCTCTGTGCACTTACACGTCAGGCAGCTGATGGTGACTGCTAGGTGGGGGCAGGGGCCTCAGTTCATATCCATGTGACCCTGTACATGCTGTTTCTCCAAGTTGGCTGGTTTGGGCTTCCTCACAGTATGGCTGCTGGGTTCCAAGAGCAAGCAATCTAGAAGGAGAGAGAGGAAGAAAGCAAGAAGCCAGGCTAGCCGAAGAGCCTACTTTTGCATTTTAAAAAGAAAAAAGTTTCCAAGTCTTGTCACATTGTAAAAGAAGAATAACAGACTTTATGTGATTGACAAAATTCTAAAATAGCACGGAGCCTGTGGCTGGGACTCCATGGCAAAGCAATTGGCTAGCATGTCTGAGTAGAGCCATGCATGTAAAAACAAAATGTGGGACCAGAAACACTGCTGTGGCCTACCGCAGAAAAGTAGTCTGCCACAGCCTTCTGGTCGCAGTTCACAGCATCCTTCCCTAGTGTCTCCCAAAACCTCATCCACAATGGCATTAGGCTCAGGCTTGAGAGTCAAGATCTTTCTATGTGCTAGTGAGAGCCACGAGACAGCTCCTTGTCTATAGTTGCACTTAACCTGAAAAATGTAGGTACTGACAAGGCAAACACCCTGCCCCACTTTCCAGAGCACATAAAACGATAGGGCACAGAGCAGCCTTCCCACTCCAAAAGAGAAGGCAGTTGTCCCGATTCTCCCCATGTGACAATTTCTATTCCTATAGCATTGAAGTTTGTGGTTCTCAATTTCCTAAAAATCCAGTTAATCATTTTATACCTTTATAAAACATCTCATCACTCTTTCCAGCTTAACATGCTAAAATTACATTAGCCCACATCCTCAAACCTCTTGTCCTGGTTCCTGTCCTCCCACATAGCTACTCAAACTCAGGAACCCTCTCAGTCCTTCATCCATTCACTCACTCGACACAACTGCTAGCAAGTTCAGCAACATCTTCTCCAAACATACCCCCTGCCCTTCCTCCTCGTCCACCCCTCCCCTCCTCGTCCCCCCCTTCCTCCTTGCCCTCCCCCCCCACCCTTCTTCCTTGTCCTCCCCCCGCCCTTCCTCCTCGTCCTCCCCCCACCCTTCCTCCTCGTCCTCTCCCTCCCCTGCCCTTCCTCCTCGTCCTCCCCTGCTCTTCCTTCTGCCCCTCCTCCTGCCCCCCACAGATTCTCACAGTGCACTCTCTGTCCATCTTCTTTTATTCTTGCTACATTCTGATTGCCTTTGGCACAGAAAATCAAGTTCATATCTCATGGTGGCACTTCCCTGCTCAAAATTTCTGTGACTCCTCCCAAGCTCTTATAGTCCATGCACATGCTAGTCTGAAGTATTTCATCCCACCTTCCCATTTCTTCATAACTCAGTCTTTTGCCTGGTGGCACGTGTCATTAATCCCAGTACTCAGGAGGCAGAGGCAGGCAGATCTCTGTGCATTTGAGGCCAGCCTGGTTTACAGAGCGAGTTCCAGGACAGCCAGAACTGTTACACAGAGAAACCCTGTCTTAGAAAACTAAAACCAAACAAACAAAAACACCAACTTTAAGCTTTGCCATATTTAAGGATATGGCATCACTGGCCACCCAATATAGCTGTGTACCACTATAGGGTCACTGTATTGTTCCTTTTGTACAGTATACCTTCCTTTCAGTTTACTTGTGTCCCACCTGTCTACTCAGTCATGTCCTGGGCGTGAGGGAGTTCTGGGGCGTACACTACAGCATGGGCTGTGGTCCATCACAGCATCCCTCCCAGCGTCTTACTGAGGATGCCTGTGCTTCTCTTTCAGTAACTGCCCTTCCTTTCTGGCGGCCGCTTTAGCCAGAGCCACGTCAGATGAAGTGCTCCAGAGTGATCTTTCTGCTCACTATATCCCAAAGGAAACAGATGGCACAGAAGGCACTGTGGGTAAGCACCTTTCCCCATCACTTGGTTAAACAGACTGTCTTGTGGATAGTGCTCTACAAAAAATATCTGTAATATTAAATCCAATTACATATACCCACTAGTGACTAAATAGTAATATTCAGGGTTTTTTTTTCTTAAAAATCAATAAAAAGAAACAAGAAGAAAAAAATTCAACTACAAATTGGTAAACTGGTACATGGAAAGTACTGGAAACAAGAAACTAACATTGATGTCTAGATAGATGGTAGCGTTGGCTCAGTAGCATGGACCTACAGTCCCAGCTACTTGGAAAGCCCAGGTGGGAAGGGCACTTGAGTTTACATGTTCTAGACAGACTTAGGCTAAGACCTTGTCTCAATTTTTAAAAAGTTGGATGCCCAATAAAGTAAGTTTAGAAAAACAGTTTGAGGAAAACCTGTTCAAAATGTCTTGTTTACCCATGGCTGCGCCACTCCGAAGGCACCCTATCTTTTCTAAGAGGGTCAGCATATCTTGAATACAATTTAGAAATTTAGAAAGTCAGTTATAACAAAACTCACCAAGCTTGTTAAGTTGTCTATGTACTAAAACATAGATCTGACAGATATGCAACGTTATTTATTTGCATCTATCATTGTGTATCTTTGCTGATAGCAAGGCTATGATGCTCAACATTCATACCCACACTTAGCCTGCCACCAGCAGAATTGAGCCCCAGGCCTTGGACATGATGTTGTACATCTGAGTGACATCTACACACACACACACATACCTCACACACACACAGAGAGTGGGGGAGAGGGGGGGGGAGAGAGTTGTGAAAGAGGGTCTTGCTGAATTGCCCAGGATGACACGAAACTTGCTATCCTCCTACCCAGCAACGCAAGCAGCTAGGTTATAGGCATGTGTCGCCACACTGGCCTCCAGTTAATGTACTGGACTTATACATATTTGAAAGCAGTTAAAGAAATTATTTTTATAAAATCAGAGCATGACTACCCCACCATGCACTATTTGTGGTGCTATCTTAAATACTAAGTATGTGTTCTACCCTACTCCAAACTTTTTAAGGGTAATATGAGACAAGGTATTAACCATGTAGCCTTAGGCTGGCCTTCAACCCTGCCATAGTCTCCTGCTTGCTGGAGTCACAATGTGTGTTACCATGCCTATCTGTTCTATTCAGAGCATTTGCCCATCAACACAGGACACGAGGGACAAAGCATGTTATAAATAGAAAGGCAGTCCAGAGACTGTGTGGCATTCCCATTCCTCCTGTCTCTCTAGACTGTGAGAACTGTCAAGGAGGGAACTGCTGCTTGTTTTTAACTGAGAATAACTGATTCACCTAGAACCAAGCTGTCCCGGAGCCAAACTGAATAGAATTGCTTCTACAAAGCAGAGTCTCTTCTGGTGGGGATGCACACAGTGAAACCCTGGTAATGAAGAGACCAGAGATTCCATTCTGCTGCAGTGCAGCGGGTGATGGCTGACTCAGCTCCAGCTCGGCACAGTGACATTAACGACTGAAGAGTAATTTACAGCTGTGAGGGGGTGGACTGCTACTTGGGTGGTTTTCAGTTTTTCACGCCCCTTATTTTATTTTCCCATCTCAAGTGGCTATTATTTATATACTAATGTTCTATAACACTCCTGTTGGAGACTGTCACGGGTCTGGAGAATGTCTGAGCCTGACAAAAGTAAAACGAAAAGACCTTTTTTTTTTAAATGGATGTCACTGGTCACACTGTTTGATCTTGTTTTCTAGATGATCATTTAGAAATGTCTCCATGCTGTTGAGATTCTCAACTATCTGCAACTCCCTTATCCTTTCAGCACGAGGGTCTACAGCAGTGGTTCTCAACCCTCCTCATGCTGCAACTTGTGGAACATCCTCATGTTGTGGGGACCACCAGCCATAATATTGTTTTCATTGCTACTTCATAACTGTAATTTTACTACTGTTATGAACTGTAAATATCTGTGTTTTCCAATGGTCTTAGGTGACCCTGTGAAAGGGTCATTCAACCCCTTGAGAACTCTACAGGGATACTGTTGACCCACACATTACAGGGGAGAGAAGCATAGGGCCTATAACATGCAGTGAGGCACTTAAGTGCCTTTTAAAACCTCTTCTTGGTTTGTTTCAAAAAAGCCTTTTATTATTTTTAAAAATTTTTAAAAAAGTTTCATGTGTGAATGTTTTTTTCTGTATGTATTCTGTGTATCATGCACTTAAAGTGTCCATGGAAGCCGAAAGAGGGCATCAGATCCCTTGGAACTGGAGTTACAGATAGTTGTGAGCTGCTATGTGGATGCTGGGAATTTAACCTGGGTCCCTGCAAGAGCAGCCAGTGCTTTCAATCCACTGAGCCATTCCTCTAGCCCCTTAAATTTTATTTTTTGCTTTTTTTTTTTTGACAGGATTTCATGTAGCTCAGGCTGCCCCCAAACTTACTCTGTGGTAGAGGCTCCTGATTCCACCTCTTTAGTAAGAAGGTTACAGGCTAGGGCTACCACGCCTGGCTAAATTACATGTTTTAAAATTAATGGTAAAGGGTTGGGAAGTTGGATCATTCAAGAACATGCAAGCCTAAGGATCTGAGTTCAGAACCCCAACAACTATGTCAAAGCTGAGCATGGTGGTCTGCCTCTGTAATTCTAGCGATGGGCAAGTGGAAGCCGGAAACTCGTGGAGCTCACTGCCCGCTGGTCGCATGGAGCCAGTAAGCTCCAGATCCAGCAAGACAGCCTGTCTTAAACAGTAAGGTGGCACACGGGAACAGACTAGTGGCTACTCAGGAGGCAGAGGCAAGAGAATCACCACAAATCTGAGGCCAGCGTGATCTGCACAGGGACGCCAGCTATATAAGCTCTGGACAAGAGGGACTACAAGGACCACACCCAGTCATCCAACACTTGCAAGAAAAACAACTTTACATTTTAAAATAGTACTTCACGTGTATGGGTTTTTGCCTGCATGTGCACTTCTGAGACCAGAAAGAAGGTACTGGAACCTTTAGAATTGTAGCTCTAGGTGGTTATGAGCTGCCATGTGGGAGCTGGGGACCAAACCTGGATCCTCTCCAAGAGCAGTATTTCTTAACTGCTGAACCATCTTATCTCTTTAGCCCCAATATTTATTTATCTCTTATTTTATATATGAATGTTGTGCTTTCATGTATGCATGTACGTTATGCTGTGTCTGCTGTTCAGAGGCTAGAAGAGGGTGCTGGAACCTCTGGAACTGAGTGGCTGTCAGCTTCTGTGTTAGTGTTGGGAACTGAGCTTGGGTCCTTTGCAAGAGCAGCCAGTGCCCTTAACCACTGAGCCACATATCCAACCCCTGACAGTGTAATAAGCAAACCCAAGAATGATGAACAGTTTGTTTTTACCTAGGATTCTGGGAACATATTATTAATTTCACCCAGTCCTATTCCCCTGGAAGTTTCTGTTTTCATATGCTCTTTTGTGACCATGTCAAATAAGGACACACTCATTTCAGGTCTGCATGGGGTGTGTGTCTCTCCTGCTATATCTGGTATAGGAGGTAGTTCTTATTGCATACCTTTAATCCCAGCACCTGGGAGGCAGAGGCAGGCAGATCTCTCTGAGTTCAAGGCCAGCCTGGTCTACACAGTGAGTTCCAGGACAGCCAGAGCTACACAGAACACCCTGTCTTGAAAAAACTAAAACAGCAAAACATTTGGAGTTGCTTAAAGCAAGAGAAATATTTGGCTGTTTATTGGCTTGTTCATTTCTTGTATATAACTCCCCCCCAGAAAGTATTTGCTCTTTGAACTTCATTTCTCTTTCAAATATACCTTGTTTTTCAGTGAGATAAAATTGGGAAGGGGAAGCTGGTTACGGTGGTGCCTACCCATAAATTACAGTACTGGAGAGTTCAGAAGCAGCCTATGCTAAGAGACACTGTCTCAAAACAACAAGCAAAAACCACAGAAAAACATTAAAGGGCTCAAAAGCCACTAACTGGGCCTGTAGGACTGTTGTACATTAAAAACAAAAATGAAATCTTTGAGATTAGCTTCCTACTAAGGAATGGAGTTGGACGTGGTGGCTGACACCTATAATCCTCTACTCAGAAGGCTGAGGCAGGACAATTTAAGAACAGGACAGCCTGGGAACAGAGAGACCCTGTTCACAAAAGGGGTGGGGGAGTTTGTGCTGGATGGACAATTTGCAACTTGGAAAGCTAACTTCAGGACTTGGAAGTCTACAGCAGAAGGACCCTGAGTTTGAGGCCGGCTAGGGCTCTATAGGGGAATTCTGTCTCAAAAAGATACAGTGTGTGCACAGTACTGCCTGGCATGGACAGGGCCCGAGTCCTATCCCCAACACTACAAAACAAGGAAAAAGAATTAGTATGCATAAGAGTAGAAATGGAGTCACGGATTCAAGGATAAAGCATGATTGGAAATGAAATAGGAGTCCAAGTTCCATACTGTTGAGGAACGCACAGTCTCTCTTCTTTGGGATTTCTGTTCTAGGCTGCAGGAAGCATCTGTAGCCATTGCCCGTCTGCCACACACTTCCTCAGGCTGTCAAGCTGTGTCTGATTTAGTCAAACAACTTTCTGGAGGAATATCTACAGTACTGGAAACCTCATCTTCTGGTTGAATAGCTACAAACTGAGTGGAAGACAGCCTGAATAGATGGTTAGAGATATTAGACATAGTCTCTCCGGTACACACTGGTCATGTGCCAATGACAAAAGTCTGCGTTAGCTACCAGATGCTAACTGATGAGTCAAATTGTAGTTAAGGTGATGCAAGCCAGGTGTGGTGATGCATGCCTACAATCCCAGCACTTGGGAAGGTAAAACAACAAACAGTCACAAATTCAAGGCCAAGACCAGCTTTACCTACATAGCAAGACTGACTTAATAAATAAATAAATGAAAATAAAGCTTGTCATGGTGGCACACGCCTTTATTCTCAGAACTCTGTAGGCAGAAGCAGGTGGATCTCTGTGAATTTGAGGCTACAAGATGAGACCCTAATAATAACCCTAATAATAATCATCATTTTTTAAAAAAAATCAAAGTAGTACTAAGTGAAGACTCCCATATAAACACTGATAAAATTCAGTTTGCTCTGAATAAACAAACATTTAATATCTTAGTTAGCCTATTGGCTAAACTACTGTCTAAAACTTTAATAATAAATATTTCAAAGAAAATATAAAGCTCATTTCCAAATGATGGTCCATTTGTTGCAGTAGAGAAAACACGAGGTCAGGAATAGGAAGCGAGAGAGCGCCAGCAGTCTGCCAGTCGTTTTCACTGCCTTTCCTGTTCCCTTGGCCGAATAACCAGTGCTCATCCTTCAGCTGTCCTTCTGAGCCTAGAGGGTGGCTCTCCACGTGATAACCATAGTGGTTGTCCACAGTGAAGGGTGCTCTGGAGTGAGGGCAGAGGGCTAGAGATGATGCTGCGGCAAGCCTGGCCTGACAGAGGTCTTCTGCCACAGAGGGTGAGTTTGGTGGCAGCTGATGGCTTTCTACTTATAGGTAGGCTGCCATTTCTTCACTTCAGAAGCAGTGTTCCTTTCCTTGAGTTAAGAAGGACATGACTAGGGTGACTACTTATGTCCTTACCAAGCAGAAGAGTGGAAAGCAGGGTTACATGGCTCTTCAATGGAGTCTGTTTCCTTTACAGAAATCGAGACCGTGAAATTGGCCCGTTCTGTCTTCAGCAAACTACACGAGATTTGTTGCAGCTGGGTCAAGGACTTCCCACTGCGCAGGAGGCCTCAGATTTACTATGAAACATCAATCCACGCCATCAAAAACATGCGAAGGAAAATGGAGGACAAACACGTGTGCATCCCTGACTTTAATATGCTCTTCAACCTAGAGGTAATGGCATTCTGGAGTCGGTGCAACAAAGTCCTGTCAGAAAAGGACTGGTGTCCCAACTGTCACTCATGGCATGAAGGGAGGCTGACTGCATTAGAAAAAACTATTTGGTTATTTTGAGTAAGTTCAAATCATTCCAAATTGGGAACATTATGTTATTTTTAATGGGTTCATATGGTTCAAAATTGGGAGAGTAAAAACCTCTTCTGGACAGCCAGTTCCTATCCAGGAAAGCAAGGAAAGTTACCAGTTACTTTAGAAGCTATTTTATTAATAACCAAAGAAAACCATTATATCAAAATAACACTTTATTAAAAGAAAAATATTTCTGTAGTAAAGTCAAGTGACTTAGTGAATTCTCAAAATACCATGTTGCTGAAGCAACAAAAAACACAACATAAAAGAATAAATTTAAGGCTGAGACAATTTGATTTCATGTGATTTTCTTTTTCAAATCTGGGTCTCTGAGATAGGTAGTGGTTGGAATTACATTCCACAAGTCTCTGTGACTGACAGATTAGATCCATATGAGCCTTGTCAGCTTAGTCACCATTTTCTTGCTATCCTCTCCATTTCTACTAAATGCATTATGCTAATGCAAACAAAGGTGGGCTTGTTTGCTCTGCCTGTCATTCACCTTTTCTTTCCTCTTTTAAGTCCATAACTTGAAAATTGCAGTGTAGTAATTTATACCCAGAATAATATTTCCTTCACTTAGCAGCTAACTTTAAACTTCAGCTGACTGTTAAGGGCTGAAGAGCAGTGATGACAGTCAGGGCTTAGAAAGACAGCAGCTGCTACCTTTGTTCCCAGTGCTGTGTCTGTGCAACGGCCCCCATAAAATTACACCTACTTGAAGAGTACACTTAGATTTGAAGGACGTTGTTCAGGATGTTGACCTGCTTGGTTTTCATTTTGTCTTCGAATATGAAAACTAGTCAAAGGCCTAGCTCAGTTAAGAGTCTCCGTGATGCACGGAAGCAGGTACTGAAGGCTTCTCGGCTATGATTCTTTAGAGCTTTTGCAAATTCTCATATCTTTTGATCCGATTACTTCATTTCATCTAAAATTCTTCATCACAACAAATACAGCAAAGTCTTAATATCTGATTGTTAGGTGTTTTAACATTACTAATAAAAACAAATCAAAATGATCTTAAAATCATTAAAGGAGATATATCTCATAATCTATTCAAGATAATGTCTTTGAACAATACTAAGTGACATGCAGAAATGCTAATGACATAAATCAGGGCATAAAATTTCACATATAGTATGATCCTTATTTTAAAAACATAGAGCCAGTACACCCGTAATCCAGTACTTTAGAGGCTGAGGCAGGAGAATGGCTGTAAGGCAAGACCCTGTGTCAGAAACCAAAGCATGCACACACACACACACACATTCATGCACATCCAGATGTAGGATGTTCGTCTCACATACCCAAAGTCCTAATAAACACCATTGCCAAAACAAAACCAAGTCACAAATATATAGGTACAGGGTTATCTACAACAGTGAGGTCACAGTGGTATTAATTTTCTTTATTTTTATTACTTTAATTATCATATTTTTTTTCTTTAAGAAACTACACTGTGTTAAAAGAAAGTCTGTGCAGTGCTATGAGTGCTGAGACTCCATGACTAACGGAGCCCTGGCTTTGTACTTCTCCAAATACTCCACCTGGTTGCTGTGTTTTTTTATGTAGTACTAAGTTATTTGAAATAGTGTATTACTCTAGTCCAGATATAAATTCTAAGTGTCAGGATTATTTCTAGACAATTCTATTTAGTCAATCTTCTGTAGCACTATAAATTATCTTGCTTAAAATGCAAGAATTACTAGAGTTATAGTGCCTGAATGGAGATATGGACTTCATCATTTGAGTGTCACCATTATTCTCAGGACATTTATATGCAGTGCTTTTTTTAGAGTCATTTTTAAAGCATTAGAGACATTTTCAAAACACCGTGTCATCTCTCTGTGTGACACAGGTGTGAGGGCAGGACAGGAGAATGAGGCATCCCTTCAGAACATCTGAATTCAACCTGGGCTATATGACAGTGTTGCAAAACAAACAAAGGAGATTAAAAATTCAAAAAAATAATAAGATTTTTAAAAAATTAAAAAACCAAGAACCTCAAGCAAGCAAGCAAACAAACAAAAGCATCCCCCAAAGAAAAGAATTGTTCAGATGTCTGTGACAGACCCAAGGAGAAGTGACTTACAGATCACCAACAGATCTCAGATTTAAACATCTGAGCTGAAAATGAAGAGAGCAGTCAACTATTTGGCACTTGAAAAGTGAACTCAAGACACAACAGAGGGCAGAAAGGTCAATGCTAGTAGCTAGGCTTCATGAGAAATGAGGCACTGAAGCTTAGATTGGAGCTGAAGCCCAGTTGCAGGCCACACAGGTCACTTGGGCATCTGATGTGGTTCAAGACTGGTTAACAAATTTAGAGACTGCTATTTATGGTAGGAACTCAATGTGACCAGGAAAGGGGCATAACTTGTATGTTTTTATCTGCATGTATTTTAGACAACCTGAATACAATTGGCCTTGTGCTGAAAAGCCAATTATTTTCTATTGTTCTCTGATATTTTGGAAAAAAAAAGTACTCAACCCAGACCAGCTTTTGCTCACTTCTTCCTCATACCTTCTTTTCTCTTCCTCCTCACACCTCTGGTTTTGAAGCAAATGCACGTGGGTGGTTTCCATGGTACAAGACAACACGTTTCACAGAGAGGGAGGGCGCTCCAGCCTGCACTAATTGGACATGATGTGTTCCAGGGCTCTGTGTGTAAACACAGATGCCCTAGCATCACAGGTATTCAGCAGCTCAGTCAGCCTTGTCGGCAAAGGGAAGTGTTTAGTCTCATCATCTGAATGGCAAAAGCAGTAAAGGATAGACCTTTTCCAGGACATTTGGACGGTACTGTGCTCCATTCCTTAAATGTTTTGTGTGTATTTACAGGACCAGGAAGAACAAGCTTACTTTGCAGTGTTTGATGGCCATGGGGGAGTGGATGCTGCCATTTATGCCTCTGTTCACCTACATGTTAACTTAGTGCGCCAGGAGATGTTCCCCCACGATCCTGCTGAGGCTCTCTGTCGGGCCTTCCGTGTCACAGATGAGCGGTTTGTGCAGAAGGCAGCCCGGGAGGTATGCCCATGTCCTTGTGAATGCCAGCTACAAGTGTACCAGCTGACTCTCTGTGGTTAAAGGGCTAGTTTGGCCTTTTCTCTTTCTGGATACACCTTATCTAAACGGCGAGGGCTCTCTCTCTCTCTCTCTCTCTCTCTCTCTCTCTCTCTCTCTCTCTCTCTCTCTCTCTCTCAGGACTAATTTGGGGGGGCACAGTGATTCACTGTAAAGGAAACTCAGACTGTGGTTTTCTGGCCCCTTTCTATAATTGCTGGTGAATTTGGCAAGTAAGTTTTGCTTATTTTTTCCCCTCTTCAAGTCAGCCTTGAACTTGGAACACTTCTCTAAGCACTCTTGCAGACAAGATCTAGAGATGGTGAACTGAAAACAGTTTTTAAAAAGAAACAGAAACTGGGATTACTCCCACACACTTCATTCTGCAAGAATAGGCAACAGGGAGTGGTCAGTGTGTCTCTTCAGGGGATATTTCCACTGGATGATTTTTGAACTGACTTTCTCTTAATAGAAAAGACAGAACTCATGTCCTGTATTGCTATGGCCAGACAGACCTAAGCATCTTATTTAGAATGAAATTGAGGGGTTCTATATTAAAGTCTAAAAGTAAAACAAACAAAACCGTATGTCTATCATATTGGGCAATGGAATATAATTACCTATAGCACTCTATGTTGAACTTTAGCTGGGGGGGCCAATAGAAAAAGACATTTTCTACTTTTCAGAACTAATTACATATTAAGATATATAGTAAGTTAACACTTCTGCCACATGACTCAAACATGAACTTTTGTAATGAAAAGATCAGAATATTATTTGATCCCTTCTTTTTTTTTAAAGAGATTTATTAATTATGTATGCACACTCCAGAAGAGGGCATCAGATCCCATTATAGATGATTATGGTTGTTGGGAATTGAACTCAGGACCTCTGGAAGAACAGCCAGTACTTTTAACCTCTGAGTCATCTCTCTAGCCCCATTTCCCTGGTCTTACAGTTATGCTGCAAAGCAATAGTAAGGCTTGGAATTAATGAAAAGATAACCTAGAACTATCTTGTAAAAAGCAAAAGAAGTATCTACCTTGAGCCCTAAGCTTGGAGTAATACACAAATTAACTATAGTAACTACTAGGATCCACAGATAGAGGTGGGGCTACACAAGAGAACCCAAGTTGACTTCAGCTTTCTTTAGCCTTGGGGGCCAGCACTCTGCTAGACCCTGCCTCTCTGGAGCCTGCTGGCTCTCAGCCTGAGGACAAGGTGAGCCCTGGGGGTGGGAGTAACCTGTATTTGGCGGTGTGAGACACTAATCGTTTTCTACTTCCTGACATGTTTCCCCCACTCGCTCTGTCATGGTGCTGTGCCCCTGTCCTGCCAATAGTTCTCCGCATGAGTCAGGGTCCTTCTTGTGCATCCGTGTGCTGCTTACTGCTGGGGGAAAGTAGCTATTCCTGTTGGGAAGCAGCCCTGCCTCCTGTTCTCTCCAGGGCATATGCACTGAAGTGTCTTTATCCTGTGTTCCAGAGGGCTGAGCTTTTGAACATTCTGTGTGGGAAGACATTTTATTGGTGGGTGAGGATTTATAACAAACTTTTCCTATATAGGGAAAAAGAGAAGTTGTTTTTCTCATTGGATACAAGAAGCCCTTCACCACCCTGACGCACTCATTCTAATTTGGGCCAGGTCCTTAGTAACAGAGTCATGCTCATTTGGTGGTGACTCATGTCAAATGGAGATGTCATTTTAGTATAGCAGGATCAAGAGCTTTAAGTACTTTGGTAGCTACTGCAGTGAAACCCAGGCTGTTAGTTCTCTATAGTGTTTCCAGTCAAAGCTCCCTAAAAATACCACGGGGAAGACTGCCCTGGCTTTTGCTTTTAAAAGTATATAAGCATCTCGGCTCCTTAACATCCAGAGCCTGGGGACATTTCTTCTGTACCTAACAAATACTTTGTGTACACACCCACCACACCACCTCACTGACTACCCAGTAGGTCAGAAATGAAACAGACTAGAACTGGACTCATTTAAGAAAAGGACTGCCTGGAGTCGGGAAGTGGGTGGTGCATGCCTTTAATCCCAGCACTTGAGAGGCAGAAGCAGGTGGATTGAGTTTAAGACCAGCCTGGTCTACAGGGTAAGTTGCAGGACAGCCAGAGCTGTTCCAGAGAAACCCTGTCTGGAAATACAAGAGGGAAGGGGAGGAAGGAAACAAGCAAGGGTATGGTAGCATTCATCTTTAGTCTCAGCACTTGGGAGGCAGAGGCAAAAGGATCTCCATGAGTTCCAGGCTAGCCAGAGTGACAGTTCTCTTAAAAAAAAAAATAAAAAGAATGGGTGGTGGTAGAATGGATTTAACAGTGAACTAGGAAGAACAAAGACTTCAAGTGTTTTGCATAGTAAACAGATTACCTGACCTTAGACAAGTCACAAAATATGCATGGGGAAGGAAAGGACAACTTCAGGAACTGGTTCTTTATGTCCATCACTTGGCATGTCAGAGGTTGCACTAAGGTCATCAGGTTTGGCAGCAAGTGCCTTTACCTTCTGAGTCTTCTTATCTGATCCAGTTTTTAAATTAGTTAATTTATGTTTTATAAGTATGGGTTTTTTGCCTGTATGTATGCCTGTGCACCACATGCATGGAGGCCAGAAGAGGCATTATATTGCTTGGGACTGAATTACACATGGTTGTGGCCATCACCATACAGGCTGAGAATCGAACCTGGGTCCTCTGGAAGAGCAGCCAGTGCTCTTAATGACTGAGCCATCACTTTCCAGCCCTCAAGCCCAGTTTTTAAAAAAAAATATAAATGCGCATAAATTTCTCTGAGCCGGGCATGGTGGTGTACATATTTCATCTCAGCAGATGCAGGTAGGCCTGTGTGATTTCAAGGTCAGCCTGGTCTATACAGGAAGTTCCAGGCTGCCAGGGATACACAGTGAGACCTTATTTCAAAAATAAAATAAAATGTTCTGAGAAACATAAATTTGTAATATGAAGTAATATTACTAATAATCTCTCAAATGCAACTTGTATTGATTATAAATTGCTTCTCAATGGGAACTTGGTGTCTTTTATTTTCTTTGACTCTGGTCTTAAATTATTTTCAGAGCTTACGATGTGGAACCACAGGAGTAGTGACTTTTATCAGAGGCAACATGCTCCACGTGGCATGGGTGGGCGATTCCCAGGTTATGCTTGTAAGGAAGGGCCAAGCTGTTGAACTAATGAAACCACACAAACCAGACAGAGAGGTATGTATGATTTGTTCTAATAGAGCATGCCATAATGGCAGTTTTGTACTTATTAACTAAGATCCTCTGAGTATTACTATTGCCTTTAATCTTCTCCTACAGGAGAAATACAGAGCTGATGGGCAATGTATCTGTTTACTGTGCAGTGATGAATAAACCCTGAATCCAATCATTTGCTTTGTATTGCACTGCTCTAGGATGAAAAGCAGCGAATCGAGGCCCTTGGAGGCTGTGTGGTGTGGTTTGGTGCCTGGAGGGTGAATGGAAGTCTATCTGTCTCCAGAGCTATAGGTAGGAAACAATACTTTGTTTCTCCAAAGTCTTCTAGCTCACTGTTTTGTGTTAACTTTGACATGAAGGGACTTGAGATGCTAATTTATATGCTCAGAATGCTTATCATTGCTTAAAATAACCACATGCCCTTTTAAAATATTAAGTACACCTGACTATTTATACATTTAATTCATTATAAGCTAAGAATCATCTCAAGGAATGTAGCATTTATCACTTTCTATTCTTTTAAGAGACTCCTCCTTGGGCTGAAGAGATGGCTCAGTGTTAAAGCTAGACTCAACCAAAAATATGACAGAGAGAGAGAGAGAGACAGAGAGAGAGACAGAGACAGACAGACAGAGACAGACGAAGAGAGAGAGAGAGACAGAGAGAGAGACAGAGAGACAAAGAGTAGAGAAGAGAGGCCTCCAAGTTGGTGTACAAATCTGATTAAAACCAAAATTATCATTTCATTTCTAAAAAATGGAAGGTTTTCTCCAAACTTCATATTGCTTCTAACTTTATCTCTCTCTTTTTGTGAATTATAAAATGATATGAGAACTCTTAGAAACAACACACTTTGTATAAACAATTTTTGAAATATGGAATATATGTATGTTTTTCTTTAATACCAGACTCTGCCTCGAGTGCTGGTATTAAAGGTGTGTACCACCACACCTGACCCAGAAAATATAATTTGTCAGATAATCTTGCATTCAAGTTCATTTTTTCTTCCTCCCTCTCTCCTCAAACATGCTAGGGAGCAAATCTAGGTAGGGTCTCATGCATGCTGGGCAAGGGCTCTACCCACCCAGGTACTCTCGGCCCTTACAAGCATTCCAAAAGAACCGTCTCCCTGAAACAAATGTTTTAAAAGGGCAAAACTGACTTGAAGGGATTGACTGCGCTGCCTTTGTCATGCCGTGAGTGGTCAGCCTTGTGGTTAGCTTCGCTTCACAGCTGCTCTTTCTTCTTCAGCACACAGACCCATTTAGTGTTGCTCATGTGTCTGTGCCCAGGGCTGACTGCTTCGAAAAACAAATGTGTTTCATGAGTAGATAAGCAAATGTACACACCACAACCCATAATCTTCACCTCCCCAAAGAAGTAACTGGTCATACAGCTAGCACAGACAAAGTCTGTATCTAATTACCAAAGGTTCCAGAACAAGAAACCCTCAAAGATTGGTTAGTTTCATCAGTGATTTGAGCTCTTCCCACACTTTGAAAAGGGGCTGCTGGCAAGCTGTCAAGTGTTCCAGATATGAGCATCAGGAGCTAAACAAGTACAAACACCTCATGAAGAATAGTTTTACCTCACAATGAGGGAGCTATTAGGTACTCTGGAGCAAGGCCAAAAGGGGGAAATTCTCATGCCTGAAATATACTTTTATATACAATGATTTTTGACAACCAGAGCTGGTCAAGGCCTCTTCATGTCTTCTGACAGTGTATCAGGAGACTGACATGGATCTCTACAGAGCCAACTTAGGCAGATGCTGGCCCTGATATGAAAAAGAGAGTACAAGGTGAAACTAAAGCAGAGTAAGAATGTCCTCGAGTAAGTTTCATCGTAGGATGGAATAAGGCAAAAATCACAGGTACGTGATCACGTATCAGTTGGATACGGTGATGCACTCACTACCTTTAGGGAGGGAAGCCCCAGGGATAGTAATACTTTTAGGAATAGATGAGTACGGGAGGCAAGAGCAGACTGTGTTCCTGCCAGCTTGTGGTGGACTTCAGATTTGACCCTAAATAGTCTGGACTTAGGAGGTTCATAAGCAGAGGGATCCGCAACCAGGTCTGTCTTTGCAAGCACTTGCAGTGGCAGACTGCAGTGTAGAAGAGCTCTGAGGGGACAGCATGTAGAAGGGTGTGGTGACAGTGCTGGAGACGAGGACATCTAAAAAGGGAGACACGGGGGAGGGTATAAATTGGCGAGCAGATGATAGTTTGTGAGGAAGAGGAAAACTAACTTCCAGGTTTCTGACTTGTGAGTAGGAAGACGATAAAGTGTTTGTAATAAAGAAGCAGCAGTTGGCAGGGGGTGAGTTCAATTGGACATACTTTCAGTTCTAGGTACTGATGGAAGTCTTGGAAGAGAATTTGTATGTACTTGGAAATACAGATCTGGAGTTTAGCTGAAAGTTGAGCTGGAGACAAGGAGTTAGTAACTCATTCTGTCTCAGCAACAGCATTACGATGTGTGCACCCACATATGTTCAAACTACAGGCATGAGTAACATTGCCTAGAAAATACATATTGTGTGAAGATGCCAAGATGAGGCCCATGACTTAAGGGTAACACAGTGGCCACTTGGCTCTGCCACTTTATAGGCTATTGATCTTGAAACACTAATGTCTCAGAATGGTTTGCTCCTTTGTAAAGTGAGAGTACCAGCGCCCAGTTCATGAGTGAGGTGGCAGAATAAGTACCTCATTCAGAACTGAGCCCGACACATTTTTAACCATGACGGTTATACTATTAAATCAAGGAACAAACCAGTGCTGTTATCCTAAACACTAAGTTAGAGGGCACTACTTAACATATTCTTTCGTGGCCAAGGACAACCCCTGGCTCTTTTCCAAGTGTCTAAAGAAAAATAACAAATGAAAAAATTACACACCTGGTAAGTCTGTATTTTAAAGTTCAAAAATAACCATAAAAGATGAGTGATCTCAGCAACCTTGAGAGAAACCTGTGAGCTCAAGGTCTCTAGCGTGTTGGGCATCTCCCTAACACTGCCTGTGTCTGCTTATGTGGTTAGCATGCGATCAGGGGGTGAGCATCAACATAGGTGGGTCATCTTTGAAGACAAGAGGACACTGTGGGCTTTCTGTCAGTTCTACAGGCATTAAGTACAACAGCCTCAAAGATTAAGCCAAGTGGACCAGAAGTCAAGCAGTCTATATCCTAGCTCTTTGTGTGAGACTGTGGATAAAGCCCACAGTTTCCCTGGCTTTAGGGAGTCACACTTGGTTTTTAAATCCCTTGTAACTCAAACCTTTCTACATGTTTACAACATGAACCTACTTACTTGATTTCTAAAAAATGTGACAGAAAATTGTGTAATGAGGAAAATAGGCAGAACTTAGAGTTAGTCCCTCTCCCCATGTTCTCAAGTTGCAATTAAACCAAACCTAAGAGAACTGACAGTTCTCCTATATATGACTGATATTTAGATTTGATGTGATTTGTTGCTTTAGTCAGCAAAGCCTGAACTGTAGTCAGAGGCACAAGGTTGAGAGTATACAACAAATGAGGAATTGAGCCCTGCAACTTGCAGTTTTTAAACTGGAATTAAAGTATATGCAACATCAAATTAACATAGCATTCAAGTGTTTCAGTTACAATTTTTAAATAAAAATTTCCCATTAAGTTATAGTCGATCATAATGTTGGCCATAGGTATTCTAAACATTTAGGTGGGTCACAGCCTGCCTTCTGACAACCTTCCCTTCTAACCCCCACAGGAGATGCTGAACATAAGCCATACATCTGTGGAGATGCAGATTCGGCCTCAACTGTTTTGGATGGGACTGAAGACTACCTCATTCTGGCCTGTGATGGCTTCTATGATACCGTGAACCCTGATGAGGCAGTGAAGGTTGTGTCTGACCACTTGAAAGAGAATAATGGAGACAGCAGCATGGTTGCCCACAAATTAGTAGCATCAGCTCGTGATGCAGGGTCGAGTGATAACATCACAGTTATTGTGGTATTCCTGAGGGACATGAACAAAGCTGTAAATGTTAGTGAGGAATCAGATTGGACAGACAACTCTTTTCAAGGAGGGCAAGAAGATGGTGGGGATGATAAGGAGAATCATGGAGAGTGCAAACGCCCTTGGCCTCAGCACCAGTGCTCAGCACCAGCCGATCTAGGCTATGAGGGGCGAGTGGATTCATTCACTGATAGAACTAGCCTGAGCCCAGGGCCCCAAATCAACGTGCTGGAAGATCCAGACTACCTAGATCTCACACAAATAGAAGCAAGCAAACCTCACAGTGCCCAATTTTTGCCACCAGTTGAGATGATTGGTCCTGGTGCACCAAAGAAAGCAGATCTTAATGAGCTAATAATGGAGGAAAAATCAGTCAAGTCATCATTGCCTGAACGGAGTGGTGCTGGAGAGTTTCGGGCTTCTTTTAATTTGGGTTCAACAGGGCAACAGATATGCAGAATGGAGAGCTTGTCTCCTGTCTGTTCTGGGTTGGAAAATGAACAGTTCAAATCCCTGGGGAAAACAGCGTCTAGATTGTATCATTTATGCCACCACTACTCCAAAAGGCAGCGTGGATTCAGGTTTAATCCAAAGTTTTATTCATTTCTTACTGCTCAACAGCCTTCTCACAAAATAGGCATTAGCCTCTCCTCACTTACTCGAAGTGGGAAGAGAAACAAGATGTTAAGAAGCTCTTTGCCATGGAGGGAAAATAGCTGGGAAGGATATAGAGGAAACATGAAGATTAGAAAGTATAATGATATTCCATGCCCAGACCTTCCCTGGAGCTATAAAATATAAGACTATTTATTCTTCAATGTAGGCTAGCTAGCACTCTCAAAAATACAACTATCAGAGTAGAAACAAGGTAGACATTTTTAACGTACATGTGCTTCATTATGAATCCATTGATGGCTCAATCCTTAAATGTACATAGATCTCTAGGAAACTCAAAATAGTGTTTTCAATCTTAAAGTATTGGCGGTTTCACTAGCAAAATCATACAGACTGGTCCCTGTGGTGTGTCTTTATACCTACATCCAGCCCCTCTCCACCATCCCTTCACATCACTAGTGGAAGCTTTGAAGTTATTCCAGTCAGGATATATGGTATGGAAATCGCAAGTATCTGGTCTGATGTGCCTAATCTAAAGGAAACAGGTAGAATTAAATTCTGGGGGAAAGTCCCTCAAGATCCTGGGGACTATGAAGGATGCCTCTCCAGTTGTTTGGGTGAAAGACTAAAAGCCACACAGGTCTTAGAGCCAGTACCAAAGTGTCATATTCTCAGACTTGGAAGGCAGTATGCAGTAAGATAACTTGTTCATTTTTCATAGAAAATGAAAGGCAACTATGAATATTTTTAATTAAAATATTTCACAAGGTTTTTATTTGAGAATTTTGTAACCTGTTCTGGTGCTTTTGGTGGAATTTTGTTGTTCATTAAGAGACCTCTGTCAACTGGCTGTAAGCTATGATGCTGTTCTTCAGAAATCTCAGGAATAAAAGTAGGTTAAGAGATGATGGCAGCTATGACAGAAGACTCAAATGCCATTTAAGAGGAGATATGAAAATAGCACTTCTATATTTTCTGCTTTTTTTAAACAGTTTACAGACAGCAAAGGCATGTATTACTATAATATAAACATAGTTTGAATAATGAAACAACGATAGTTTTAATGTCTCTAAAATTGTTTTCCCCAAGGGAATGAAGTAATTGGTATGAAGGAGGCTGAGTGTGAACCCAGAGGCCACGTGCATAGGAGAATGCAGATTACTGAGGGCCAAGGCTGTTTAGTTTTAAGTGGAAGGCGAGCCAGAGTCCAGCTACCTGCTTCAGACTACAGTGACAGGTCATATGCTTCTCATTTCAAGACTTCAATTATAGTTATCTATTTTTTCCATTTCTACAGTTTCAAACTAGAAACCTATCTTCACCTAAAAAGAGCAAATACACGATCAGATTTGGTCAGTGAGGCAGCCTGGTTTATCTCAATCATGAATGTTCCCATGTTCCCCATCCCATCATCAGCCATGGACTAGCCAGGCCAACAAGCAGGAGCTGGAGCCATTGCTCACAAGTAGCGGCACCACTAAATGTGCTTGCTGAGGCACAGCCACTGCCTAATCATGTTCTATGTAACAACACAGACCCAGAGAGGACTAAGACCCTCAAATTTCACAAATGGATGACTCTAGCATGTCAAAGGTACCAGCAGAGCTACATCAAACCATTAAGGACCAAAACGCAGCTTCTCTTCAGCACTGGTCAAACTCTTAACCTACAGCTTTTCTTTTTCTAAATCCTAAGTGGAGCTTTTCAGTATTTGTTTTTGTTGACCTTGGGAGTCATTTATTCTTCCCTCCAGTCTCAAGACTGCTGAGAAGACATAAGCATGGCTCCACCTCAACAGTATTAGGACTTCATCATCTTTCTGATGCTTGCCTATAATGGACCTCACTCATGTCAGTCATTTTTTGAAGCCCAGATCTTGCTGACAACCCATCATGTGCAGGGCCAGTTTCAAACCAAATTTCTAAAGAAAACAGAGGCGGTAGAACACAGATGTACATCAAATCCCAAAATAGCTAAGTACATTTTGAAGAATTTCTGTGGTTATCTGGTAATGTTTTTGATCAGAATAAGGAGCAAGGAAAAAACATGAGGTGATAGGCTTTTTATCAGTGGGGTAAAAAATGGGTGGATGAAACTAGGGCAAACAGACCCATTTTGAAAGGTCTGCATTTTGTAGGTCTGACTACACAGCAGTGTTAACTCCATTTCTCATATCATTAGCTCTCTAGAAAAAGAGAAAAGTAGTTCTAGTATGGTCACGTTAATAAACCAATACTGTAAAAACTAACTCTTCATTTGTTCACAGTGTGCATATTTATAAGGTAGTTTAGGTACCATTTGTACGGTAAGTCCTTTAACATTCTATAATATTAAAGTAGTGGTTATTGGCCTGATATATGCTGCTGTTGGTTCTATAAACCAGATGAGAAGCAGTGCTTTGTGAAATGCAGTGTTAAACCTTAATGCCACTGGTGATAGGAAGTAGTTCCCTTCAGTTCAAATCCTCTGCCCTTATTTGCTGCTTGCTAATGTAAGCAATAAGTAACCCTCTAACTAATGGTATCTATACATTTCTGTAACTTATATTTAATGATGGTGTATCTGGTGATTGTAAAAATATTAGGCAGATATAAAAGTAACTATACAATATATATTAACTGTAAATGCTGAGGTATAGTCTGTAAGTTGTGTGTTTTGTACCTCTATTTCATTGTGCAATTTAGTGGTGGTAAAAGTCCAACACTCGATCCTTAAAGAGTGGCAGTATCTTTTTCAGTTACCATGATCTGCATACATTTGTTTGCTTGCTAAACCAGTTTTGTTACAGTAGGAAATAGCAAAACAAATATAGACAAAGTGTAGTATCTGATAGGAAAGCAGACTTCAAGTCACCAACTGAGGTTACTACTCCTTGTACATTCACTGTGAGTCGCAAAAGGCATCAGTCCCTAATTTCAAAGGTTTCTCTTTTCACTCTTTTTAGATATGTACATTGAGAAGGATATCCCAGGTTGGCAACATTACAGCACCAAATACTGGAGTTATTCTACTTTTGTCTGTACAACAGAGATCAGACAGAAAAACATGTATATATTTTTTCTTTACCTACAAGTGCCATTCATTGTCCTAGAAGTAATATAATTAGAGTTCATGTTGCATTTAAGAGGAAGCACCTTGAAAGTAACATCTTTTCAAAGGACAATGTCAGTAATGTCAACACTAAGTCTAACCCTGACCACATTTATAGTGGTCTAGCATCGACACTGCATTTTCATGACACCACACTCCATTGTTAGAACACTGTGCCAGTAAGAAGTGCAGCATCCAAGGGGCAGACGAAGGTGCAGTTCAGTGTTGTAGACAAGCTGCTGTGCTTCAACAAGTACTTCCTCCCCATCAAAGGCTTGCTGAGGGTTGTGAGAAAAAGGTCTAAATTATTTTAATTTTTAAATTCACTCAAAGCTTTTTTTTTTCATCTAGGGCTACAAAAGAGGATACTACAATTTTGTTTGGGAAAACTTTTCTTTGGATCATAAATTATAAACTACTAAAAGATTTGTTTTCACCTTTCAAAAACAGGATTTGACCTATAGAAAAATGGTTGTTTCCTCAAAACAAATGATATGCCAGTATCCAGACAAATAGTACTGATTGAACAAACCACTGTTGCATCCTCCAGTAGCATTTTATCTATTCAAGCCTATTTATTATACTAATTAGAAACATGAGTGGGGGAAGGGGATTGCACTGACTCAGCAGTTGCTCTTGAAAAGGAAATACTTTAATTATCTTTGATGTATTAGATAATGCAGATACATCATTGTAATCTCTCTAGGTGCTCTTTGGTGAGACAAGCTTTCTCTTTTCATGACATTTCTCTGCAAAGAATTCTCTCTGGAGTGAACTGAATGAAGTTGCCATTTAAAAACCTACTCTACTGATCACTTTTGAGTTGAGTTGTAATCATAAGTGATCTTTCATGTTTTATTTATTAAAACTGTTCAGATAAGGAGTATGTCAAAATTTTGCCAATATCTTAATAAAACTCAGCAATTAAAACACACACGTTATTTGCCTTATTCATAAATTACTGAGTTACTCAGTGTTTAAACTAGGCAGATCCCTCAGCCTTAAAGCACAACTCCCAAAATCTTTAGGGGGCTTTCAAAACTTTTTTTTTATTTCTGTGCAGTCCTGGCTATCCTGGAGTTCACTATGCAGACTAGGCTGGCCTCAAACCTGGAGATCCCAAGTGCTGCCTCCCAAGTGCTGGGATTAAGGGAGAATGCCACTGAAGATGGAAGTTTTCTTACACCTTATGAACATGGAAAGCTGCAAGTCTGCTAAGTGATGCTTGAACTATTACCATCCATCCCCTCAACAAAAAACAGCAGAGAGAGGAGAGAGGGGGTTTCTTCTTGTGCTCCCTACTGGTTTAACTGGGTTAAGAAAGGGACTAGTAGACGAGAAGTGGAACCTGCACTGAGCTAAGCAGTGATTCCTCAAATCTTGCAGTGACAGTATTCTTAGATCTTTGCACACAATTGCCCAAGCTTTCCCTTTATATCACTGAATTTCAGTCTTGAAAGGAAAGGAATAAACAAGTGAGTGGTGGCTCTAAATCTTTCTGGAGGGTTTGTCTAGACGAATAGGTACAGAAAGGAGAATGTATAGAGAGAAATGAAGCCAACTATGTGTACCTAAAGCAAACCAGCGGTTCTCAACCCCCAAAAGATGATCACAAAACACAGATATTTACATTCCAATTCATAACAGTAAAAAAATTAGTTATGAAGCAGCAATGGAATAATTTTATGGTTGGGGGTCACCACAATAGGAGGAACCTTATTAAAAGGTCACAGCATTAGGAAGATTCAGAACCATTAAAGGGGATGGACCCAGCTAACACACCGTAACTCCTTCTTTACCAGCAAGACTTAATTCACAGTCACAACAATCTTAAAACTCCTAATTTCTTTTACATTTAGGCCTTAGCATAACTTTATAAAGAAAAAGAAAAAATCTCTGAAAGGAAGATGTATTTGAAAGGGCTTGCTTCGCAGGGATGATAAACATTTTGATTAATTGTTATTTATGTATGAAAAATTCCTAAAATTTGATACTTAATTGAGATGAACACCTCTTTCTGAAGTAACAGCATAACTATTCTAAGTGAATCACTAGTATAACAATTATTTGAATTAAGACTTTACCAATGTTACCAAATTATCAAAAAAGGGTCCTCTCAAGAGGACCCGCCAATATGTGTGGCCCTGTGCTAGGTCCATCCCACCCCCACCATTAGCTTTTGACCTGCACCCCAGACACCTGTTGCCTTAAGAACAACTAATAAAGGACACCGATTTGTGCTTTAGGAGCTACTTTTCCTTGGCTTCAAAGTAAACTTAAGGAAGAATTTTTCTGACTCTTCAAACTATTCAAATACTGTTTAGTAACAAAGAGTTCCTCCTTTATTCCTCTTAGCTGAGCTGTGGATGATGCATCATCACAGAATCTCCAATCTCCAGGTAAAGGTGTTCTGACATCGTGGCATGAAAAAACATGTACTGACACATAGGTTATTTTCTGATCCTGTTTCAGAAAAGGGGAAAGAATGTGGAAAGTCGTCAAGAATGATCTATGTTTGGAGAAATCTTTTTTCCAGGTGAGAAACCAGAGTTTAAGACCCCGCATTCACAGTGGTGATATCACACTAGAATATGGGTGAGTGAGATCAGCGAAGTCACTAAGGACTCGCCAGTGGAGGCAGGATCAGTGAGGCAGGACTCAGGATGGACGCTGCAGTCTATCCTAGAAGCACATGAGGAGACACCACCTCCCTATAGTACTTGGGCAGAGAAGCAGCAAGGAGCTCACCTGCTAATTAATGTACCAGCTAGATAAAAAGTTTTCACAACAGAGAAGTGGGTGAATATACAGCCCAAACTGCAGAGTGGCTGACAGTACATACTATTTGCTCTTAAGTGTCCTCAAGCAGAGATTTTGTTTTTGTAAACTTCTGTAAAAAAGCAAAAAAAGTTGTAATACCTCCCATAGAAGTTTATCTGCTTTTTACACCAACCTCCTGAACTTAGGCCAAACTCACAGATTTAGGGCACAGTCTTCTACAAGATGAACCTGTTTTCAAGACCAGCTTCAAGTTCAGGATCCCAGGCCACCCTTACACTCCAAGTTTGGGGGATTCCACCACTAAGCTGAGGTTTGGTAACTCACTAGAACACTACACAGAACTCAGGAGGCACTATGATCACTGTTTCCTTCTGAATACAGCATGCAGTTATGAACCAGTGAAGGTAAACACATCAGGGAGATTCTCATGGTCCCAAATGTGATGTTTTTATACCAGCAGGTGACCTTCCTGGCACAATGATGTATAGTGACTCAGTGCTGCAAAGCAGACACACTCCCTTAGGCTTCTACATCAGCTGTCCTGTTTTAGATGATCTAGAACCTTACCAACAAATCACACGGTTGGCTTTCTTAAACTACCAGTTTTCAACCAAATGACTCCTGTCACCTAGAAGCGTCCAAGGATTTAGAGACGACTTCCCAGAACATGGGTCAGAACAGCCAAGTCTATATTATCACATATCTGACAATCCTATTCACAGACATAAAATTCCCTTCAGAATGAAGACTGCTCACATAAATGTCTGATCAGAAACATGCTAGATGGGAAATGACCCTGATTCTATAAGTAGGTAAATGAGTTACTGTGGAACAACTAGCAGGATGCTACTTAGCAGTCAAACAAGATAGATATATATAATTGTGCTTCATAAACTATGTGACTATACCCTGTGAGTATATTTATATGACACTAGGAAAAAGGGGAAACTAAAAGGACAAAGAACAATGGTAGCCAGAACTCTGGGCACCACAGGGAATTATTAGGAAGATTGCAGACAGCCATGATCAGTCTCACTATATTATCATTGAATCAGATCACAATGCAGAGGGTAGGAAAAGAAAGGTGCTAAGGCAATCTTGAAGTTGAGAACCTAAAATAACTGGAAAGGTATTTTGACATGATATTGAACGTCCAAAGACTGTAAGAATTGCACACCAGCTGGGTGCCAGAGCATGCATCCAGCTACTAAGGAGGCTGACAAAGAAGGATTCCTTGAGCACAGGAGTTTGAGAAAGCCTGGACAGTATGTAAAACCCTATTTCAAAACCACACAAGTGATATTCAAGACAGTTTTTTTCCTCACAAGGATATAGGTCATATACATCATAATTAAAAATTTAATGTTAAAATGAGGAAAACAAAGAAAAAGTGTGGGCCAGGCATGGTAATGCATGCTTTTTACCCCAACACTCAGGAGAGGCAGGCAGATCTGAGTCCAAGCCAGCTTGGTCTACAGAGTGAGTTCCAGGACAGCCAGAGCTATGTAGAGAAACTGTCTTGAAAAATAAAAAACAATAAAAACTAAGTTACTAATATACTGCAGTCAATGATCCAGCCGTCACATTGTTGGTTATTACAAATAAGAGTGAAGCCTACATACAATGAGCCTGTGGGACTAGACTGATATAAATATTGACCCACATTTTTTTCTATAGAAAACAAACAAAAAACAAACCAAAAAGCCATTTTAGTTGGGGAAGGAGGCACATGCCCATAATCCTAGTATTCAGGAGCCTAAGGCAGACAGATTGCAATTTCTAAGACAGCCTGAGGTACATAAGGACAGTCTAAAAAAGTTTATATGCATACTTACCCATTGGCTAAGAGGAGTTATGACACTACAGTAACTGTAAGCACACACCACCACTCATATTTTGCTTCTAACATGATACTCAGATAAAAGTTCCTCAAAAAGTTGAATAGCGCCGGGCGGTGGCGGCGCACGCCTTTAATCCCAGCACTCGGGAGGCAGAGGCAGGCGGATCTCTGTGAGTTCGAGGCCACGCTGGACCGACAGCCTCCAAAACAATACAGAGAAACCCTGTCTGGTAAAACCAAAAAAAAAAAAAAAAAGTTGAGTAGCTGAGTATTGTGCCTCACACCTTTAATTCTATTACTTGGGAGGTAGAAGCAGATCTCTGTAAATTCAAGGCCAACCTGGTCTACATAGTAGATTCCAGGCCAGGTAGTGCTATATGGTCTCACTATGGTGGGGAAAATACACAGTGAGCTTTTAGCATCCTTTGATTATAATACAAGAATATAATCATGGGACATATTAGAGCCAGGCATGGGGACAAACACTTTTAATCTCAAAATTTGGGAGGCAGACCTAGGTAGCCCTTTATGAATTTTAGGTTAGCCTAGTCTACATAGAGAGTTCCAAATGAGACAAAGTGACACAATGAGATTCTGATCTCAAAATCAAACAAATTACAAAGAGTAAGACGAATGTATAGATCAGGGATGTAGTTTAGTTGACAGCATATACAAAGTTCTGGATTCAAACTCCAGCACAGGTGAGGCATGGTGCCACAGGCCTATAATTCCAGCAGTATTCCTGAGTTGAAGACTGGAGGACCAAATGGACCAGAAAGTCAGTGTCATCCATGCCAAGTCTAGACATGACAACCCATTGTTAAAAAAAAAAAAAAAAAAAAAAAGAAGCAGCAGCACTGTAAACAAGATTCATTACATAATCAATGCTGTGGTATGCTTACACATGGCACTAACAAAAGGAAAAGCTGGGCCAAATTAGATAGGATTCTCACAATTTTCCTAATTCTTAGAAATCTAAAATTATCTTAAAATAAAACGACAACAAAAAATAGGATAATCTTTTAGCTTTTTATTTATGTTAGATTAACCAAGGTAAACTGAAGAAAGCATTGTGTTCAAACTTAGACCATCACACCATTTTCCCTGAATTTCTCATGTGGGGACAATGCACAACTTGTCTGTCTTAAAGATCACTGAAGGATGCAATGAGCCAAGTTATCAAAGCTGTTCAGAAACAATGTGCTCACATACATGCCTTTAATCCTAGCATTTGGGATGCAGAGGCAGAGGCAGCTTGGTCTACATAGTGAGTTCTAGACTAGCCAGGGCTACACAGTAAGACCTTGTCAAAA